GCCCAGGGATTGCCCGGTTTGGACGGAGCTCCTGGCTTGCCCGGCGACGCCTCCGAGAAGGGACAGAAGGGTGAGCCTGGCATTTCCGGACTTCGGGGCGATACGGGTCTGCCCGGAGAGCCGGGCTGGCAGGGTGAGAAGGGTCTCCCCGGCTCGGTTGTTCACGGACGTCCTGGTCAGCAGGGCGAGAAGGGAGACACTGGACGCAGTGGCGCCGATGGTCTTGACGGAATCAATGGCGAGAAGGGCGACCAAGGACTACAGGGCGTCTACGGCCCGCACGGTGAGAAGGGATCTGTCGGCGCACCCGGCATTCCCGGTACCCCTGGCCTCGACGGACAACCCGGCGCCCCCGGTGCTCCTGGTGTTGCTGGCTATCCTGGCCCCAAAGGAGACAAGGGTCAGGCCGGTCTAGCCGGACTAAGCGGAATCAAGGGTGATATGGGACCCGTCGGACCCCAGGGCTTTGTGGGCGCTCCCGGTCCCAAGGGCGATCGCGGTGTCCGTGGTCCGGCCGGTCTTCCGGCTAGCATCGACGTGGAGGCACTTCGTGGCGATAAGGGATCGCAGGGCGAGCGTGGATTCATCGGCGAGAAGGGCGAAAAGGGCGAACGAGGTGAACAAGGATTAGTTGGCTACGTAGGACCTAAGGGTGATCGCGGTTTCGATGGAGCTCCTGGCGCCAACGGATTGAACGGTGTTCCCGGTGAAAAGGGTGACATCGGTCTTACAGGCGAGGCTGGCTATCCGGGACGTCCCACCAAGGGCGAAAAGGGTCTGCCCGGTCGCCCCGGCAGGAACGGACGTCAAGGTAAGTCTATAATCCGTTACTCCTAGGAGTATAATACTATAAATCGATTTTTGGAGGACTTTTGTTAGTATCTTAATATTTTCGTAGTTCTTTGGATTCATTTTTTTTATAGACAACTTCTTCGTAAAAAAATAAGTTCACCCCCTAAATTAATTGTTGTATACCCTTGCGGAAGGGTTATATATATTTGGTCAGAAGTTTGTAATGCAGTGAAGGAGACGTTTTCGACTCTATAAAGTATGTAGATTTCTTAATCAGCATATCTAGACAATATGTCCGTTTAATTACCGCTTGCGGGCTTAGTTTAAAAGCTGGAGGCTTAAGCCCCTAGCAATCCATTTTTTCATAACTATTAGGTAGAAAATTTTAAATTTCTTTGTTTTATTTATAAAAGTTTATATAGAATTTCGAACCTATCCCTTGAGTTTGATAAAAAGGAATTACTATATCATATAGCTGTCATACAGTGTCATACATACAAAATCTATGCTAATATCGGGTAATATAGGGTGAACTAAGCTAGAATTGGTTTGTTTTTAAAGAATTAAGCGTTCCTATATCTCGCGGTTTTTTGCCTTATATTTAATAAATTGTTACGGCTTGCTGAAGCTAGCTTCGGTTTTCATTTTATTGTTTCCTTGTTACTAATCTCTTCATAAAACTTATCACCCGTGACCTAGGTCTTATTGGAGCTCCCGGCGTCAAGGGTGAACGCGGTCTGCCTGGTTTGGCTGGAGAGCCGGGTCTGGTGGGCTTGCCTGGACCAATTGGACCAACTGGTGCCAAGGGAGAGCGTGGTCTGGCCGGCAGCATAGGTGCACCAGGACAGGATGGCTTCAATGGCGCCCCCGGACCAAAGGGAGATATGGGACCGCAGGGTTTCAAGGGCGAACGTGGTCTGAACGGCTTCGAGGGACAGAAGGGAGACAAGGGCGATCGGGGTATCCAGGGCTTGCCTGGTCTGGCCGGTTTGGCCGGAGCCAAGGGTGACATGGGCTACCAGGGATTGGCCGGAAACGTTGGACCACCTGGCCTGCCTGGCGATCATGGCTCCATTGGACCCAAGGGACGCGATGGAAAAGACGGAAGACCGGGTGCGCCGGGACAAAAGGGCGAGCCCGGAAAGCTGCCACCGCCGGGACCCAAGGGAGAACCAGGTCAGCCGGGACGTGATGGACAGAAGGGCGAGGTCGGACGTCCGGGAGAGCGTGGCTTGATCGGCATTCAGGGCGAGCGCGGCGAGAAGGGTGAGCGCGGCCTGATCGGCGTGACGGGACTGGTGGGTCGTCCCGGACCCAAGGGAGATCGTGGAGAGCAGGGCCCGCGTGGCTACGACGGAGCCGAAGGTCTGATCGGCATCAAGGGCGAACAGGGTGCACCGTGCTCCGCCGCCCTGGACTACCTCACCGGCATCCTCATCACACGACACAGTCAATCCGACACGGTGCCCAGCTGCGCAGCCGGACATACGGAACTCTGGACGGGCTATTCCCTGCTGTACGTCGATGGCAATGACTATGCCCACAACCAGGACCTCGGTTCTCCCGGTTCCTGTGTGCCCAGGTTCTCGACGCTGCCCGTCCTAAGCTGCGGTCAGAACAACGTCTGCAACTATGCCTCGCGCAACGACAAGACCTTCTGGCTGACCACCAACGCCGCCATTCCAATGATGCCCGTGGAGAACAACGAGATCAAGCAGTACATCTCACGCTGCGTCGTCTGCGAGGCGCCGGCCAATGTGATCGCCGTGCACAGCCAGACGATAGAGGTTCCCGACTGTCCCAATGGCTGGGAGGGCATCTGGATTGGCTACAGTTTCCTCATGGTGAGTACACACTCCTGAATGTGCCTCCAGATTGAAATTGCCACTTTGTGCTGTTAATATTAAGTCGTGAACTTTAGTTGGGAAGATGCTAAAGCATGCTACAAAATCTAATTTGTTGTAATATAATCAGTCCGTTTGACTAAGTTAAATAAGCTAGGACGCTAGCTTCGGTACACCGAAACTATACATATATCGAAAGTATCGATGTCATCATATTTTGCTCAGAAGCAAATACATACAGGGGTGGTAGAAAGTATTTACAAAAATCAATTGAGAAAACTCTTTTGACCAACCCAGTTATGTAGATATCCTTCTAATCTGTAGCTTAGATTATCCAAATAATTTTGCAGTAACTTAATATCAATTTGTGATATAAATATTAAATCTTTGCATACAGTATTGCAAAGAGTGGGGCAAAGCCAAAACCATAAAACTAAATATGTAACATAATCTATACTTTTTCAGTTGAATCAGTACGTTTAGTTAAATTTAACAAGAAAGGAAACTTCGGTAGGACAAATCTATCTATCAGTTCATCTTATTTTAATAGAAAACAACTATGTCAATTCTTCTGGTTTCAATAAACTCACCCAAACCGATCCCAAAATGCTAAATATGACAAAAAATTCAATTTTCGATCTGAGGTCTCTTACTTACCTAAATGTATGCTTAATTCATTGTTGTCTTTTATTCCATAGCACACGGCTGTGGGCAACGGAGGTGGTGGACAGGCGCTGCAATCGCCTGGATCCTGTTTGGAGGACTTCCGTGCCACACCCTTCATCGAGTGCAATGGAGCCAAGGGCACGTGCCACTTCTACGATACGATGACCAGCTTCTGGATGTTCAATCTGGAGTCCTCACAGCCCTTCGATAAGCCCCAACAGCAGACGATCAAGGCTGGGGATCGGCAGTCGCACGTGTCCAGGTGCCAGGTCTGCATGAAGAACTCGTCGTAGGACCTCGTCGTAGCACATCCCAACAGACACCCAGCACACAGCATAAGTTTATTTTAAATGTAAAGCCCTAAATATACCAACGAATCGTGTGTACACACACCTACACACCAAAGCACACACTCACAACACACAATCAAACCAACAAACAAAAAACACACACACACACACACCGACGAACCAACACTGCTACAAATTCCTTAAACTAACCAAAAATGAAACAAAACGAGGCCACCGGGTCGAAGTGCTACAAACCGACCTCCTTGGACCACAATGCCATTTTTTATCTGCCAATTAATGTTCTAAACAATTGTAAACTGCTTCTAAGTTACGTTACGTATGTTAAGTAAATCAAACAAATAAATAAACTAGCCTCGGTCGTATGTCGAAAAATATTTAATACCCATCTGCTGCCAAGGCATTTTCCATTTTTTGAGTACTTGATAAAATGCGAACAAATGCACAGTGTAATAAGGATATAACTAATATTGAACGAATCCATTGACACATGTAGATCGCCTCCTCAACTGCTATACACAACTTTGTCGCTTATTGTTCACGTTTATAAAACAAACAAAAAATGGTAAAATAAAGAAAATATATAAATACATTTATATTTGCAAACTACCAGTTAAGGGAGAACAAACAGCAACCAAGACGATTGTATGATTGTTTCGTAGAGAGTTTATAAGGATTATCTAAATGGCTTTGATCTACTGGTCTAACTAGATTTGATATATATTTTTGGGGCTTTTTAATCCAAATTCGAAATCTGTTTAGCCTTAAAGGGATTTAAATCATAAACAAAGCCAAAGCCAAAATTATAAAAAAAAATTATATAAGAAAGGTATACAACTATTTTATTATTGAGTATTATCTCTGTGCTGATTTACAATTATATATAAAAAGGGTTGTAAACAGTTGCACATGTATATTTGAAATATTTACCACTACCAGAGTCATGCACATTTTTAGGTTAAACATACACAGCGATATCATGATCAATATAAAAGATTGAAAATCTTTTATGTTACATAAGGAAGTAACCCCAACCTTAAATGCTTAGATCTTCGTTAAGAGACAAGGGTTGAGGGTAGCTATTGTGGTGGAAAACCGGCACAGTGGAGAGCCCCTAAAAAAGCAATGCCAAGGCGATGAGCAGAGCCAACTCACCACGTGCACTTGTGCGCATGACACTCTTTGTCCGTACGCCAATGTGGGGGTTGAGTTTTCAAGCGGGTGGCGACTGGGGTCGGGGAGTGAACTGGGCCAAGGGGTGGCGAGACATGCGAGACCATATGATAATGATATGCAGACACACACACACACGCACGCACATATTCCAATTGGTGGTTGGAAAAAATAAGGGTAGGCCTCGCCGCTGTGGCTTCAAGTTGGAAAAGTGAGCCAAAAGAGTGATTGCCAGAAGCCAGCGAGACTTGGACGCAAGCGGAGTCGTCGTCGGTGGGAGTCGTCGAAACTTTAGCCAGATAAGCGGAGCAGCTTTTGGGAGCTCAGGAGGTGGAGGAGCTGGAAAAAAATATGTGTGTACCCCGTAAGAAACAGTGAAAATTGTGAGTTTTCCGCTCAGGACTAGCTTATAATTTGGAAAACTAAGACGTTCTGGTGTCTACCGGAAGTGGTGCACCCACAAGGCAGCAAAAGAAAAAGAAGGAGGAACCCAACTGAACTCAACCCCCATTTATGATTATCGTCCTGCTGCTGCTGTTCCAATCGCTCTGCCTCTACTGCCAACGCCTGGTGCTCTACGTCCACGACAGATGCTTCCCCAAGAACGTGCGCCTGCTGCAGGAGGTGGCCGAGACGGTGGGCGATCGTAAGGCACCCCAGCGCCTGGCGGAGCAGCAGTTGGAGCAACAGAAGCGCAGCCAGAAGCGTCGCATCCTCGAGCCGATCCTGCCCCTAGTTGGTGGCCTCAACTCCGAGGCCTGTCGCTTTTGTGCCCACAGTCCGCAGGGCTATTGTCGCCATCACTTTCACCTGCAGGAGTTGCAGTTGCACAAGCAGCGGGGTTCCGGTGGCGAGCAGGACTTTCGTCAAATCCGAAGGATCAAGCGGGAGTTGAAAAGGAGCCTGGGCCAGCAGCAGCAGCTCCTCCAGCCGGTGAGAAGCTATCGTCCCGTGCGACTAAGTTCCAGCTGGAGCAGCACTTCGCTGAGCAGTGGTTACGGTTCGTTGACCAGCTTTGGGACTCAGGAGCAGGAGGAAGGGGATCAGGAGGTTCCAAAGGAGGTTGCAGAGGAGGTTGCAGAGGAAGTTACAGAGGAGGTTACAGAGGAGGTTCCAGAGGAGATTCCATCGGAGCTACAGGAGGAAGTTGAACAGGAGGAATTTGAGCTGGAGTATTTGCCTCAGGAGGAGAAACGACAACGCCTGCTAACCACTCATTTGTAAACCAGAACTTTGAAAAGAGAAGGTAGTGCATAAGGAGTTAAGAAATGACTTCTTAGGCAAAGCTTTCAATGTTTATCATAACACGTTAGAAATTTAGAAGAAACAAGAACACTTCTAAGGAAAAGTTAACCACTAGAAGAACCAAAGAAGGAGCTTCCACCTAAATGGTTAGCCAAAAGAGGACAGGATAAAAACGCCACCCCCGTAGCCGCTCCTTAAGCAATTTCAGCAACTTGAGAGCCCAGGAAGAGGACAACTACCCCCAGAAAGCCCAACCTTTTGACAACCAACCTACACCTCCTCAAAAAACGTTTTGAAGTGCTCCCTTTGTCTAAGTTGATTGAGTTTGAGAAGCGGAAAAAATTTCTAGTCACACAACAATGTCCGATGTGGAAGTGGATCCCCAGCAGCAGCAGCAGCAGCAGGACCACCCTCATCCCGTGGTGGCGATGACCCCGCGGCGTCGTCGTCATCCTGTTCGCCGAGGAGCAGGCTGCCTGGCCCTGCAGTCCGCCTCGCAGGATGCGGCTTCGCCACCGCGCTTCTGTCCCCTCGTCGAGGGCGTCGAGGACAACTGGACGTGGAGCAAGCGACATCGCTCCAAGGAGGTGGTTCTCAGCGGACCCAACTCCCGAACGGTTCACTTCCATCCCAACTGGAGCAAGGGCACCGCCGGCGTCCAGGGCAAGCGATCGCTGAACAATGGCCGCTACTACTGGGAGCTCCATGTCTCGCAGCGGGTGTTTGGCACCTCGATTATGTTCGGCATAGGCACAAAGTCAGCCCGACTCCATGCCAACGCCTTCCGGAATATGCTGGGCGAGAATGAGCACGGCTGGGGACTGTCCCACAAGGGCGTGCTCTGGCACAAAGGCGTGGCCCTGCTCTACACCAAGCGCTTCCGCGAGAATCATCCCACCCAGATCGGAGTACTCTTCGACGGCATCGAGGGCACACTCACCTACTACAAGGATGGCAAGTGCCTGGGCGTGGCCTTCAGGGGATTGGATCAGGTGAGTTAATGAGGTCTACACACAAAACATTAAATTATGTTTCGATACCCCCAATCACTGCTATGTTTAAAAGATATATGTATGATACATCATCTTAAAATGTAAATTTTAAAGAAACTTTTATAACTTTCTCAAAAACCGTGTAGTATTTTCAATTTCGACTCAATTTGTCTAATAATGCCATAAAAAAAAAAGAAAAACAAAAAAAAAAACAAGAAAGAAAGCAAACTTCGGCAAGCCGAAGTTCATATACCCTTGCAGCTATTGCAAGAATTTAACATTTTTGAAAACATTAAAATTATGATTTACTGCGTATATGTTTAAAAACATTGAAGCTATGATGATTAGCAACTCAATTATTTGATAGTTATTTTATATATTTTTATTATTTCTATGGGAGCTATATGATATAGACGTCCGATTTTGATAAAATCTAAACCATAATTCTGAAATATTTAACCATTGCTATATGTCGAAGAACTGAACAAAAAATTAAAAAACAAAAAAGTTATAATTTTTTTCATTTATTTTTCCGATTGTTCCTATGGGAGCTATATGCTATAGTCGTCCGATTTTTATATAATTTAAACCGTAAATCGGAAATATTTTACCATTACTAAATGTCGAAGGGCTAAACAAAAAATTAAAAAACAGAAAAGTTATAATTTTTTTCATTTATTTTTCCGATTGTTCCTATGGGAGCTATATGCTATAGTCGTCCGATTATGATGAAATTTAAACCGAAAATCAGAAATATTTAACCATTACTAAACGTCGAAGAACTAAACAAAAAATTAAAAAACAGCAAAGTTATAATTTTTTTCATTTATTTTTCCGATTGTTCCTATGGGAGCTATATGCTATAGTCGTCCGATCCGGCTCGTTCCGACTTATATACTACCTGCAATAGAAAGACAACTTTTGGGAAAGTTTCATGCAGATAGCTTTAAAACTGAGAGACTAGTTTGCATATAAACGGACGGACAGACGGACAGACGGACAGACTGACAGACGGACAGACGGACAGACGGACGGACAGACGGACATGGCTAGATCGACTCTACTAGTGATGCTGATCAAGAATATATATACTTTATAGGGTCGGAGACGTCTCCTTCACTGCGTTGCAAACTTCTGACTGAAATTATAATACCCTCTGCAAGGGTATAAAAACAAATTGGTCTTCATGCTTTCCGAATTTGCCAGCAGATGGAGCTTGCAACTGAAATATGCGCCACCTGCTAAAAAATTTGTAAACCTTATATAAATGAAGGATGTTTATCTGATGGAAGTGATGATCTTGATTATGTTATATCTTTTAATTAATAATTGATCAGTAATTGATTGTTTCGGAACAGATATTACCCTTCTTATACATTTAAAAAAAAGTCCTTTATTCATATTAACTAAATCCTCCTCTCCAGATCGATGAACCGCTGTACCCCATTGTATGCTCCACGGCGGCCAAAACGGAGATGACCCTGAAGTGCACCCGGCGAGAGTTTGTCAACCTGCAGGATCGCTGTCGGGCGGTCATAATGAGGCGGGTGCGCAGTGCATCGCAGCTGGAGAAGCTTAAGCTACCGTTGCCCATCAGCGATTATCTGGGGGAGGTGATCGACGAAATGGAGCCACTGCGTCAGGTAGACAACTACGATATACTGTGCGACTTGTAGAACTCAGAGCATCCACGGTCCCCGGTGGCCGATGGTGCGGAGCCACAATTAGACCTAAGTTTATAGAGTACGACCTCTCCCCCAGGTGAATGAGTTGGAGATGTGCATAATGAATTACGAATTGTAAGCGGCCCGTGAATCTTTTTGTGCCATCAAAACGGAGCGCATCCCATCGGAAGACGATGTGCCTCTAGGAAGTGTAAATTTTCGTGTAGAATTTGTAAGGATTGCTTAGTGAACTGTAGTATTGTTAAGCATTCGAAATTATCGGTGAAGATAATTCGGCTTTCAGTTTTGTTTTTAGCTTTTTGTTGAAAATTTCTAGTGAAAATGTGGGGAAATAGGCCAATTTGGTGCAATATTTGTGATATAAGGAAAGTGAGTAAATTAAATCGTATTTTGGGGCTTCAAGTGCTTGTTACATAACCGCAAAATAAGTAAGGCATAGAGCTAAGCATATTTTTCGGTACAGACGAGTGTGAAATCTAGTCAAAAGTAACACGCTGCTAAACTAATTTTGTATATTCCAAGTCAGCAATTAAGGCTTAAGCTATGTAATATAATAAAATGAAAACTTTTCTAGTCATAAATTGCAAATGAAGCAAATGAAAAGTGTTTAATTTTTCACTATCGAACGAGCACATGTAAAAGTTCAGCACTTATACCCAAAGTAATTTAGTAAAAATTATTTATTTTGTAGATTCTTTTTTGTGTCTATATATATTAATACACGTTATGTAATTGGTACATGACAAACAAGAAAACTAAGACGTGGGAAATGAAATTCGTAAGAAGCGCTCAAAACAATTTAGCGATATTGATTTGCAATTGTCACTTGAATTTACATAAATAAAACATAAATTTACTAACTATTTAAATGAAATACAATACTAAGCACAGGTTCACTATAGCAGGAAAGGGCTTTGGCTGGAATCTACAGCTCGTCGGAAAGATGGTTAATGTTTTGTAAGTGGTCCCCGTAATCGGTTGCCTCGCTGCCCACAAAGGTATCGTAGTTATTGAGTATCTCCAGGTAGGACAGCCGATCGTCGTGATCTTCATCGGTGGAGACAAACAGGTGATCCACCTCGTCGTTGGCAATCGCCGTATTACTCGGCACAACCCAGGATAAAACCTCATCGCCCGTGAGCACGCCGTCGCCATTGGTATCGTGATCCTTGTCGAATCGCTCCTTCTCCGTGATCAGCCACTCCTTGTCGTGATGCGAGGCTGCGTCGCCGACAAACTCCTGGAAGTTGATCTTGCCGTTGTGATCCAAATCCTTTTCCTGCATCGTGTGCTCCAACAGTATGGGCAACATTTGTGGATGCTCTTCGGGATTTTGGAAGTAAACATATTCCTCCAGCGTCAGCACTCCATCCTTATTCGTGTCGGCCGCCTTGAACATCTCCTTGTCCTGTTTGATCATCTTCTGCTCATCCTCGTAGCTATCGAAGTCAATGGTCTCCTTTTTAAAGTCCTCATCCTCCATGGCGTAAGTATCCTGCAGATACTCCGTCCAGGTTATTTTCTCGTCCGCATCCTGATCTATTTCTTCAAATCTATCAGCAGCTTCTTCTTCCGATAGTTTTCTGCAAGTGTTTTTTTGTTAAGTAAATATTTAAAATCGAATTCATTCTGTTCGTGAGTATGCAAGCAGAAGCAGTGAATGGCCGAGGTATTGATTATTGGCTTGGCTAACATCGATGCAGTATTAATCAACAGACAACACTCACTTAAAAGACCTTAATATCCAGGCTTTCAACTCATGCCGGTCAACAAATTCGTCCTTATTCAGATCCATCATCTTGACCAGTATCAGCAGACGTCTCTTCGATTCCTCCGGTGTAAGTGTGTCGAATTCCTGAGCCTCTTTTGTGTTGCCTAATGTTGATGAGTAGTAATTATAGAACATAAGCGTGAAGGCTTGTATGGAACATAAAGCAGAAGCAATGCCATTGACGTGTTGCTTTCAGAAAACCATTTTAATGGTTTTACGATGAAAGCACTAAGCGAAAATTTTGATTCTCAAAATAACAAAATAAACTAAAGTTGCAAATTTGATTGTTATCAATCCTAATTGATCATAAATTTTACTTCTTAATACAAAATCAATTGATTTTAACACAAAATTATATTTTCAAATCGGTATTTTATATTTAAAAACTGGCAATAAAGTTTTGACTTCATAAAATGGGGAACCCATTAACATGGCTATTCACGAACATTAAAAACATTTTCTTGGACCATAAATGTGAATGTATGTATATGACTGATCCATATCTCTTGATGTCTGAATGATTCTTTCCATGTGCAGAACCACAAAAATAAACCCCATCCAAATAAACAAACATATCCCCGCTTCATACACTGTAACAAATTGGGAGAATAATTCCAAGGCTAATCTCCAGATTTTATAAATAAAAATAAAAGAAATCAAAAAAGTTCATATGTTATGTGCTCAAAAGTTGTATAACTCTGATTTAAAATGTTTGGAAAACCAAAGTATATTATATAATACAAATTTTGTAGATTTCTAATACCGCTACTGCTTGTTTTTTTAGTTCAATAAATATAAAATGAATTTTTTTCAAAAATTTATATCTTAACTTAGCAATTTGAAATTCTGGCAACTGTTGGGTTCACCAAGTACCTAGCCTGCGCCATGGATTTTTTATGGATTTGTCTCCCATTTTTACGAAATGTTATTGTTTTCCGGGAAGTGACTCACCGATAATGGCCTCGTGATCGAACTCCACGTTGTGCTCCCCATCCTCGCCATGGTGGTGGGCGTCCCGGGGGGCGTAGACCCCGTCCTTGACCCGCTCCTTGCTGAGATGCTTCTCGTGCTTGTGGTTGGCCACCGCCCCGATGGCGGGCATTGGACCCACGGCGGCCAAAAAGGCGATGGCACAAAGGGCCAGCGGCAGAAGCGGCAAATTCCTAGGCATTTTAATTGATTATGCCAAGAGGCGTTCTTTTTGTTTTTTCTTCTTTTTTTTTTGGCAGCTTCCCGAGCACTTGAGTGGATGAGGAGGAGGGAGAGGGCAGGGGTAAGCAGATGGGCGGCGGATATACGCACACGTAATTCCCAACAAAATAATGACCTCAGTTCACCTTTCGCCAGCTTGTGAAATATGCAAATGTCAGTCAAAAGATTTAAAGACTATTTTTCGAATTTAAATACCCACCCAGCAGACCGACAGCTGTTGTCTCCGATTGCCACTCCAAATATTTTCTGGACCACAGATATGTATCTCCTTAAATTTGCTTCCAGTTGGTGGTTTCACTTTTTTGTACTTAATTTAATTCACGATTATCATAGTTTCCGCTCATTTTAAACCGAAATTCGTTTATTTATTTCTGCAGCCAAAAAAAACGAACAAGCAAACAGTGTGACCCCCAGCGATAAGTTACTGTTTGGCTATCGAGCTATCGATATTGTGGCCCTGGTTCTAACCACAGTTTACCAACACTTCGCCGAGGCACGACCAAATCTTACCAACACTTGCGCAGCTTGCAAAATTGTTGGAACTTTGTTTTTCTCTCCATAATTAACAAAAATATAACGCAATTAAAAGCTATAATAAAGCTTACTTGGGCTAGTTACAGTATAGTCTATTAAAGGCACCAGGTATGTTATTTTAACCCAGAAAGTCAAAAAAGTATAAGACAATGAAAATATCATGAAGAAAAAGTCAAACGCAGATGATTAAATTCAAATGACATCATTTTGCGACAGCTGTGTGGCAAAAGTCTCGTTTCGAGCCGCGCGTTTATTTATTTGGAAATTTGATCATAATTTACGTTCATTTTGTGTGCCCCAAACACGCAAAGGACACTTGAGCGCTCGTATTTTTGGCAGGACTCGCTATGTTTGTGTGTGTGTGCAAGCCCCCTGTATCAGTGTGAGTGTGTGGGTGTAGGAGTTGTTGACCGGCTTTTATTTTTATTTTATTATTATTTATACTACTTACTCATTAGTCGACCGGTCAGGTTCGTAATTATAGTCCCTGACTTAAGCTTGACATGCAACTGGTCGCGGGGTATGACTTTATAGCGGGTGTGAGCGAGAAAGAGAACCGCACATGGGTGTCTTTAATGGCATTTCAGGGGGATTCGGTAGCAGAGGTTCAAAAATGTATTGGTTTTTGTTTTTAAACTCCATAAATACATACAAATTTAATTTTAACTTGAAACAATATAATTTGTTTTTTTACAAAATCAATGCGGTTTCTGCAATCACCATCATACATATTTATAATAAATGTTATTATATGTAAACTTTTCTATATAAAAATAGGAAATCTATATATTTATGGATACAAAAATGTAATTTTTATAGGGTTTTTTGATAAACAATACAATGTGTTATATTAGATACATCACAAGTTGGAAATCGGTTTAAATAGTCGCAACTTAAGAAAAAAAGTTGGCTAAGATTTGATTTTTTTATTTGACTTGTTTATGGACCATTGAACTATTGACGGAAATATGCATATTCCCTCCCCAATCCCTTTAAAAATATTTTCCGCCCTCGCCGCTGGGTAGCACTATCCTATATCGCATTGATGATTATCCTGGCCGAATGCGTCACTTTGTCATTTGGGTATCTGCCACCTTACACCGTAGGCTAATCCAATAAAAAGCTGCAAACCATTTCAGAGAGCCACAGCCACGCTGCGCGACGCCTGCCTATAAATAATAAGCACACCAGCCAAGCCGCAGTAAAAGCCACAACAGTTAAGCTAACGCTGGGAAAACCTCTTGGGCGAAGAGGCGAGCCCGATTTTAGTTTCAGTCGAGAGCCAACCTTCCGCAGCGCAACAGCGAGCTTTTTTTTTGCCCCATTTCGTTTGGTTTTTGCGTATATAACTTCGTATATCTCATTTGTTTTCACTTACGTTTTACGGCCTTTCGTTGGCACGCCCGCGCTAATTAATCCGCAGATATCCAGCAGTAATCAGGCCAAATGCCGTACATTATCATACGGGGGAACTTAGCCTCCTACAGCCACAAATATCCATGGCGAGTGCTCGTCTCTGGATTGAAAGGTAAAGCCAAAAAAGTCCGTAATGTTTAGTTCAGTTTGTCCAACGCCCGTAGATACAATATCTCATTTTCGTTTCGTTTCGCTTTTGTTTTGTCGTCTGTTTACTATTGCGACACAATTAATTTCGAGAGCTTGGCAAACAGATACGAACACACAGATATACTACTTCCATGCATACGAGCAAAGCACGCTAGCTTTTTGAGCATTAGTTTCGGTTTTTCCACTTTGCACTACGAAAAAAACACTTTTTGAATGGCTAGACAGTGGCGGGTAGATAAACCTGCCACTAGCCGTTATTTTCTTTATATCTTTTTTTTGTATAATTTTTGGTCAGTTAGTTATTTTTGACACCCTGTGGCTTACTTTCGTTTTCTATTTAGGCTGCGTCTTAGTTGCATGCTTTTTATTAAAGCTTAGAAACACTATTATTATTTATGAGGATTACTCCTCAAAAATAACACATTTTTGAATGAATTGACAACAGCGGTCAAAATATGAAGCATGTTTATTTATTGTATGCTCATTAGGCACTTATATTTTCACTCTTCACTACCTTGATTTGACGAGAACTAAACAAACGTAATAATTTAATTCTATCAAAACACAAATCAAAGTTATCCGAAGATTACTTTAACCAAATATAAAGAAAATTTCGTTTTAAAATATTTTTTGAGCTGGTTTTAAATCGACTTAATACAAATCCACATAACATATTTTTCAATCTTCGTTCAAAGCGACGAAAAACATATTTTCTTGAAAATCTACCTTAAAATGGTTCAATAATGGTATAACGATTGTGCAATATTTAAGCGGTTCGTGGCAATAGTAGTTTATTTTTCCATTAAATCAACAGCTGCCCTTTAATTGCATGGCAATTGGCCCTAGAAACCCACCACCCCGCACCTGTTCGCTTTTTACGACCGACACTGTGCGAAGTTTTGCTCCCGCAGACGAGTCTCAATCGCCAGTTTGGATTTGTTTTTCGCTGCGTGCAGTTCGCTTGGCAGACCGGGTCTGCTGTTTATATATACACATCCGTACGTACATATGTTACACCGCATATATCGACTTAATTCCGCTGCATATTTGTGAAACATTTATCTGTCAGCTGGGCAGAAGTCATTGCACTGGGATGTAGGCACAAAGAACACACGAGAAACTCCCATTTTTATTTTATTATGAAACAGCAGTTGATATTTGTTGGCTTTTTGCTTAATTAGCACACTCACATCGAAAGACAATGGCCCTGGGCTGACGTCACCGTCCGTCCCAGCCGTGTTATCTGTTGTTTGCCCTGTTTAAACATTTAGCCACACCAATTAACGAAAAGAAAAGCAATTTCACATCTGATAACCATTTGCCCACCCACACGTCAATACTTTCAGCTGACGACATCGAGCAGTTGAATAAGTTTTCTTGCGGCGGCTACAGTGACGAATCCACCATCGTCTACCTAGTGCATCCTTGTCGGATTCTATCGGCGCTAGAAGTGAGTACCCTTCTGATCATAGCAAGTGTTTAAGGTACTCAAATATGTTAGGCTTTACCAACGATGATCGACTTCAGATCATAAATTTTGCCAATACTTAATTTATTTTCTTAATTAAGTTATATCTTTATCTCGATCGGTTTTGTGATAAAAATGATTTCAATTGAAGACATAATAGACAAAATAGAAATTGTTAATAATTTGAAAATCCAATTTATAACTGTCTGATTTAAATTGATAATAGTTATCTACTAAGCCAACCAGTCATTTCAACAATCATTTAGCAGACATTGATAAATCGTCTAGAATAGCGAAATTTGAACTTAAGGTACAGCTAAATACCTTTTGGAACATTTGTTTAACTCTAGAAACTCAGTGAAACAGACAATCGATTGAAGAACCAACCTGTGAGAACTTAGTAGATACGTAATACTATTTTTGTAATCCTTGTGTCCACCCAGGCAATCAGCTAATAGCATTTTCCCCCAACCATTACCTTCAATTACCCAGTGACTCATGGATTATTTGTCTGCATTTTTTACTTTCAGATTCTGGGATTTCGTGTGGTGGCCAGCTCGTCGACGGCCGTGAAACAGGATTACAACGAGTATATGTGGACGATGCGCAAGGAGTTCGACGAACCAGAACCTTTAGAGGCAGAGTCTGTAGTGCGAGAAAATCTATCGAACATTGGCCGTGAGGCAGCCAGTTTAGGCAACTATCACAAGGTGGATTCACCCGAATAGGGACCCAGTTTGGAAAGAAAAAAAAACAGCAAACAACCAACAACCCTACTCTAATTGTATAATTTTGTGTGTGTGAGAGATTGTGTGCGGCGTGTGCGTGTTCGTGTTTAAGTGTGAAAAACTATAGCAACCTAGGGAATACTGTTCCAAAACATAAACTCTGAGTGAAGGAGGTGACTGACCAAAGTCCCAGAAGACGAACGAACTATGAGTGAGGGCGTGACCCAGCAGAAGGAAACTCAGAATCTCAGCAGCGAGCAACCTCCGGCGATTGTGTCCGCGGCATCGGCGGCATCTTTGAACGCCGCCACCGCCGCCATACCTGCCAATGTGGTGACCATTCCGGTGCCCATTCTGCAGTCGGAGGGCAACTTCGCCTACATCACCGTCAAGGGATCGCTGCACGATTACACCTGCACCATTTTTGGCCTGAATCAGGCCGAAGTTCAAGCCCTGTCCAAGCGCTTCGAGAGCGGAGTTAAGGCGTGCGTCAATGGTATTATGGTGGCAGTGCCACCGATGGTTATGCTAAACACTCTGGCCCAGCTGAGCTACAAGGTTGTCTGCAGTTGCGGAGAGGCCGAGATTTGTTGGACCATGCAGCGTGAGGTCTAATTAGTTGGCCGGAATCACACTGTCACACCGTCAAGCAACTGGAAACGAAAGCACAAGGAAAGGCAAGGAATTCGATATTGTAACGAAGCACTCGAAATAATCAGCAGGCTAAAATGGATCACCACAACGCGGACAACTGCAAGTGCCACAAGCAGACGCAGCCGGCACAGCAGACGCTCAGCGACATGGACTTTGATCGGGGCATCTGGAATGCGGGTAAGAATAACCTCATCCTTAAACCCATGTCGTGCACTAACAATTTCTTTTCCCTTACTGTTTAGCTATCTATAACGAAGTGGAACGTGTGAGGGAGTTCATCAAGAAGGGCCAGTCCATGGCTCGGGATGACTGCGATTATACGGCTTTGCACTATGCGGCCCGCAATGGCAATGAACCAATTTGTAAGCTACTTCTCGATGAGGGCAAAGTAGATGTGAATGCTGTGACCAAGGCAGGAGCCACCTCCCTGCACCGAGCAGCCATGATGGGTAAGAGAGGCCACTATTAAAAATAAATGTTATTATCATACTAACATTTGTATACCCTAGGACATTTGGAGATTGTTAAGCTACTGGTGGAGCACAAGGCGAATCTTCTGCTGCAGGACGAGTGCGGGCAGAGTGCCTTGCATCGGGCTGCGATGCGTGGCCATCTGGAGGTGTGTCGCTTTCTGCTGCAGCAGGAACCCGCACTCAAGCTGATTAAGGATAACAAGAATAAAATTGCATTTGAATACATCATGGAGAACGCCAACGACGACTTCAAGCTACTGCTGAAACCCTAAAAGGACTTGTCATTACCCTACCGTTCTGCGTAAATGTATTTTTTTTTATAAATTAAGCACTAAAACGTTTTTCCTTTAAAACTTTATTTTTTTTATTTAGTCTGTCAACACGTTTTCTATAAAATTGCACCCGATATCGTTGTAAAATCCTACCTTAAAAATTGCATACGTTACTTTGTTCGTTTGCATTGTGTGTGTGAGATCGATTGTATATGGAAAAGTAATCTTAACATTGGCGTAGTCAAATAACCTAGTAGATACATCATATAAATCAACATATATATATATATAGACTATATACATACATGCCTAGTAAACATGAAATGTGCAAATAATTTAGTTAACTCTGTGCCCGAAAAAGATGTACACACAGAAGACGCTTTTAAAAGTACGAAATTTGTGTGGAAATTCTGTTCTAAATTTGAAATACATTATAAGAATGTTAATATCACATTAGAGTCGTGTAACGAAGGTGTTAATTAATCTGGTGTTTCAGAATTAAGGAAACTATTATAAAGTCCTAACACAACCCTCCACACACTCGTCGCCAATACATACCATATAACCATACATACTATAAAACCTATATAATCTGAATAAATTCCTAAAGCGCATTCAATCCCAAGACTCGGCACATCTTACACCAGGTTTTCGGGCCGGTTCCATTCCCCCAACGAGAGGAAGTTCGGCAAAGTCGCTGAGGTAGAGCTTCAATGTCGCGGGAATGGCAAACTCATCTACGATCCTGCCCAGCGAGGAGCGTTTCTGCGTAGCAAGGTACTTATGCTGCACCTCTGGCCGCGTTCGGAGGGATTTCAGGATGCGCTGGCGGATTTCCAGACGAGCGAGGGACTGCAGTGATCGCGGTTGGCTGCCAAATGAGGACATTTCACACTCGAATTCCAGGCGGGCTACTGGCCAATCCTTGGGCAAAGCTCGATGTTTGTGCGGAAACTGGAAGCCAGCATTGCCTGTAAATTAATTAGGTGTTTAATTAAAAATTCAATATAATTGTTACCATACACTTACATAGCAACCTTGCAAAGGCCAGACTTTTGGCCGAGCAATTGGATCGTAGCTCATTGACCACATGCTCCCGACAGATCTGCGCCAGGTTGCAGCCCTCGTGGATGAGGAACTCAGCCAGCTCCAGTCGATGCAGGTTGATGGCCCGCGACAACGGCGTTTGGCAGTAGATCAAGCCACACACAATGGTGGGAGCACAGGAGCCATATAAATCCTCGCGGGCGCTGGGTACTTTGGCCAGCAAAACACGCAGGATGCTGCTGAACTCCTTCGCACAAGCGATCTGCTGCACGGCAAACAAAACCAAACCCTCGTCCTGGACATCCGGATAGAGGCCCAGCTTTCGATGCTCCTGGGCAACGGTCAGCAGATACTCCAACATTTCGGGCCGTTGCAGATGGATGGCCAGCATGATGGGCGTGTGGTTGTCACCATCGCGAACGGACAAACTTTCGCCGTACTGCAGCAGGAGTTCCACCATCTCCCGGTCATCGTACTCCACTGCCAAGTGCAGGAGATGCTGGGATGCCAGACGACGTGCTCCACGCTCCAGTAGCAGTTTGGCCATCTGGCCATGACGACCCCTCACGGCGTACTGCAGGGCAGTGTGATTCTGCTTATCCTGGAGGTTAATACGAGCTCCCCGCTCCACCAACTCCTGGGCCAGATCCACCAAACTGCAGGCAATGGCCGTCATCAACGGGGTCTCACCCTCATCATCGGTGTCGTTGATATTGATGTTGGTTTGCAGCAGCAATCGGGCCGATTCCATGGACTTGCTCTCGATGGCCACATGCAGCGCGGTCTTGCCATCGCTCAAGGTCTTGGCATTCACCAGAGCCCCATGCTTGATCAGCAGTTTGGTCACTCCGGCGAAACCCGCTCCCACATGGAGGGGGGCATAGCCCTCGCTGTTGACCACGTTGATGGGGGCACTGTGTTCCAGCAGGATGCGTACACACTCCTCGTGGCCCCAGCAGGCGGCATAGTGCAACGGAGTGGCCAAATCGGCGTCGTAGAGGTGCGGATCCTGTTCCCGACAGGACACACAGCACTGGGATATGAACTCGCCGGTATTCTCGAAGGTCTTCGCATAATACTGATACAATTGGCTGTCCTCTCCTCCGCCAACGCCTCCACTGTCAGAACAACTTTCGAACTCATCCACCCACTCAAGTTTCTCCATACCCTCGGGTGTTCGCTCGATTTCCAGACTATCAACGTGAGCTGAAATTCATACAATTCGAAATAAAATTTTCAAAAATTCTTATACAAATAGTTCGAACGCTTGCTTGCCACCTAGAAGTCTCTCGTTCTTCTGCCGTTGCAACTTAAATTTTTTTCGAAAAAATCTATTCTTATCAATGGCTGGCCCACAACACAACGATAACCGGTTATTCAGCTCTCTCAGCCTTCACTTGGTTTTCTCTGCGTTGGCATTTTGCTCGGTGCGGATGTGGGTCATTTGGGTACACGCTTAAAAAATGTAGAGGCACAACAACAAATTTAACTTACAATACAAAATGAATAAAAAAAAAAAATTTACAACAAAATAAATTATTTCTAAATATAAATGCATTTTTTTTTTTTTGAAAATGTAATTTCGAAGGTTTTGACTGTGCTTGTAAATGTTCTTTAAATTAAAATAAACCAGTATTTATATTTAAGACACATTTTTTATGTTTTAGTTTGAACGGTAGAGGAATCCTTAAGTTGTTTAATTAGTATTGCAATTTCGGTATGTCATTTTTATTTTAATTAATTTTTAGAATATCTATTGATGCAACAAAGGATTCTAGTTATTTTCAATTTAAATAAATAAAAGAACGAAGGATTTTTAGTTTTAAATTTTAACTAATTTCAAAAGATAAAAGACGAGAAAAAACAAATAATAACAATAATTTTGTTCATAAAAGTTCCGTCTAAAATAAATTTTTTTCTTGTCTTTGTTTAATCAACTTATTTTAAGCTAGACAAAGGGAGGTTAAAATTTGTTACTTTCGGATAAATATGTATACGATGGCCAATGCATTGTGCTCTGGGGTTGAAAAAACTAACTTTAATTTCGATAATTTCCAAATTTTCTAATAAAATTGTAATTTAATGGAGTCGAGCCCCTTCCGGTTGCTCATCGATTTTCTTTCGGCCAGCTGTTGTCCATCTGCGGGAAAGCTCTGTGCCAATTCAAGGCAGGTTTTCGTTTCATAAGTTCATTTTTTATGTTTACCACAAAAGCACTCAATTTTGTGTTAATTATTTTGCCGGAAGTAGCTGCTTGCTTTATCATAATTTATGAGGCCGATAGTGTTTTCAGTATAATATAGATGATTATCTTAGCCAGCGTAAAACTCACACTGATGGAAGACATCCAGCTCGGGCTCTTCGCAGGATTGCACCAGGAGCTCCAGCAGCTCGGCGTCGCCCAGGATGGCCGCCGTGCCCACGGCGGTGCGTCCGCAAGTGGGCGATACGTACGAGGCCTGTGCACCTTGCATGATGCAGCCCAAAGCCTGCTCAAAATCTGCATTCTGCACCGCACTCAGCAGGCGTTCGTTGAGGTCATAGGACAGCATTTTGCCATTGGGTTAGTGATTATTTGGTTTTAGACTAATTAAAAGCGGGCTAGCAAAACGCGAAGCGAAAATGAACAAACCAAAGGAAAAACTGCTGGGCCTGGCGTGTGTGAAAAGTGTGTAGATGTCGTCAGCGGCTGCAACACTACCCCGGAAAATCCGACGAAAAACTGAAACCAAACAACCGGTGTGCGCAAGAGCAAAACCGGTAGCACAATGTTGGTGGTTGTTTTTGAACGGCCAAGAGGCCAAGAGCATGAGTAACAACTGTTTTGCTGGGGGCGGTTTAAATGAAAAATGTCCTCAGCCCATGATGAGGAAGACAACAAAGAGAACAGAGTCAGCTGGAAATTCGCTTCCAAGCACACTTAATGCTGTTTTGGTTTATTTTCGCCATCTCGGTGTGCGCAGATGCTGGGCTTGTGAATTATGGATGTTGCCTCAGATTAAAAAAACGTTTAACATTAGCTAGTCTACTTGATTTCCTTGGCTTCCTTGGCGTTCTGCAGCGATTCGGTGATGAAGAGTTTGGCCAGCGACTGAGAGCAGAATTGGGCGATGTGCTGGGCATGGGTGTTGATCTGGCCGGAGGTGATGGTGGCCGTCAGCCGGGCGGGCACGGGCATGGGGCGGAACTGCTTGATCACCTCCTCCTCGGCCACCGTGGGCTCGCCCTTCGAGGTGCGTACGGCGTTCTCAGCTGCCAGCTTGGCCAAAGCACGGTGTTTCTCCTGGAAAATCAAAGAAAATTATAAAAATTAAATAAGTAATTAATATATATATACATTTTAATATAATAATAATAAGGATAATACCTTACATTTGCGGTTAAAATGACTATTTACCAATTAAAAAAAAATAATATTAAAAACAAATATATATATATTATAGTTATAGCTTATAGTATACTTAGTTTTTGTCAAAAAGGCAACAGCGATAATTAACTTTTAAAGTAATTAGCTAATTTATATTTTAACTTAGTTAGTTCCCTTTTCAAAATCAAAAGATAACTAAACCCTATCCAAAACCTCTTTAAACCATTATTTTTCAAAAAGAGTTTCCTTACCGTATCCTGCTTGAAGACCACCTGCTGATACTTGTTATAGCGCACAGCCTCCTGGTACAACTCGTCGACGCGCTCGATCAGGCTGCGCATTTGGTTCTCCAGCACGGAGGCGGTGCCCAGATCCAGGAAGTTGTGACCCTTGTCCTCGGGCAGCAGCTCGTTCAGCTCGCTCATCATAATGTTGGTCAGCGGCGAGTTCTTGATCACAATGGGGATCTCGGCGAAGAGGCTCTCGTAGCCCACCTTCAGGGTGCGGAATGCCTCGGGCGTGAAGTCGCCATCCTTGTACATCTGGATGGCCTGCGGCGTGAGACGGTAGGCCTTCAGGCAGAGGAATCCGCGCGAGGACTTCTGCGTGTCGTAGACCACCACAACGGACTCCTCGATGCTGGTCTGGTAGTGGTACTGCGACTCCAGCAGGGCAAGAGACAGGCTGTTGCCCACGTCGGAGCTCTGGTACCAGCCCACATGAAGATGGTCCACGTTGACGCGGCGCAGACGACGCATCACAGTCAGCTGGTACATCTCCTCGTCCATGGTCTCATCGCCGCTCTTGGGGAACGGGAAGCAGTTGGTGATCTCCAGGCACTTGTCCACCACCAGACCGAGCAGGGCGCCCTGGGCGAGGTCCATGTTGCTCGATTCCTCATGGCAGTGCTTCACCATTTTCATGACGGCCTGCGGGAGGAAAATGTATTAATTAGTTGCCAAAATTCCACTTGTCATGCTTTCGTACAGGGGCTTCGGGGTGTTGTTTACTTGTTTTCAAGACGTACAGCCTAATATGTCTTCAGTTTCAAGAAATGTTTTTAAATACGATTGCGAGGTTATTGAAAGAAGTTAATTAGTTGCCTATTTATGCCAATATCGAACTGCATTCGAAAGTAAAAACCCGCAAGGGGACTTAAACTATTATAAACACTTTTAAACTAAGATTTACCATGGAAATTAGTTTATTATTTCTAATGATTAACCGGCCTCTGAACCCCTTTCAATTCACGCCCATGTCTCCACACACACACCCAAAGCAAGCAAATTTTTGAGCCAGCGCGTGGCAACAACTTTGTCGGCTTCCGCACCGGTTTTTACGGGCCAATTTTTGCCACATCCTTTGGCCAGGAGCTCTACTCACCAGTCCATCGCATTGGACATAGTTTATGGTGTTATCCGACTCCTCAGTGCGGGCAGCATGCCGATTTGCGCGATTTGCCATGTTTAATGTTGACGAATTGTAAGCGAAAAGACCCAACGACGTGAACTCGGCTGCGGCAGAATGTGGCGTTTACCAACACTACCTGCAGCCGCTTTGCAACAGTGCTGTGAAATCAGCTGTTGGCCAAGCGATAAAAAAAAGGGCCCAAAATACAACTTTTGTTTATCAGAGAAAAACCAAAGCGACTGAAACATATTTCATTTCCTAGAACACCGAAAACTGGCCCGCTTGTCACGAACAAGCGGAACACTGATAACTGTTGCCAGTGGACTGGAGCCGCGATTAGAAGTGGGTGAAGTTAGTCTTGGTCTGCTATTAGCAACGCAACGCTGGCAAATTCGCAAAAATGTCAACTAATTGGCGAGAGTTGTTCCCCACCAAGCTCACATTTGTGATCTTCCTGCTGTACATGTCCCTATTTATAGGGCAGGGTATGTAATCCTCTCGTGGATCGCTTATCTCATTCGAAGCCCCACCCTAATTTGGATCTTTTGCAGGCATCTTTGTCACAGCTTCCCAGGAATCTAATAACTCATATGGTTACAATACCGTCACGGTTGTGCTGCTAACCGAGGTCTTTAAGTTGATTGTTTCCACGTGCCTGTACTGCCGGGAGTAAGTAGAAATATAGATACTTATTTCCCTCTTACTTGTTAACCTTGACCTTTCTCTACGCAGCCACAACCTACGCTCCCTAGTGCGAGATGTCCACAAGGACCGCAATGTCCTGGCTTTGTACATGGTGCCCGCCTTCCTGTACTGCCTGTACAACAATTTGGCATTCGTCAACTTGGCCACTTTCGATCCGACCACCTACTATCTGCTGCTTCAGCTACGTGTCGTTGTCACGGGCATTTTGTTCCAAATTATCTTTAAAAAGTACCTTTCGCAAAGGCAGTGGATCTCTCTGATAATGCTGACACTGGGCTGTATGATGAAACAGATCGATTTTGGCAGTTTCTACAGCGATACCAATGATGACAGCGAGTTGGCTGCCATCCAACAGAGCTCAATTAATCGAACAGCGATTGATGCGCCACAGGCGCACGGCAAGAACATGTCCGGATTTGACTTCAGCCTGAGTGCCGTCTTCATTCTGGCCCAGACCATTTGCTCCTGTCTGGCTGGCGTCTACAACGAGTATCTGCTGAAGGACAAGGGCGCCGACGTGAATATCTTTGTGCAGAATGTCTTTATGTACCTGGACTCGATTGTCTGCAATGCTGTTATCCTGCTGCTGCGCGGCGAACTTCTGGATGCCTTTAGTCCTCACAATTTAAGCAGTATTATGCGTTTCAGTGTCCTGATTATCATTGTAAATAATGCGGCCATTGGCATTGTCACAAGTTTCTTTCTCAAGTACATGAACTCCATACTGAAGACCTTCGCCAGCGCTTTGGAGTTGCTCTTCACGGCGGTGCTGTGCTATTTCCTATTCTCCATACCCATCTACATGAACACCGCCCTGGCCATCGCGGTGGTCTCCTACGCCATATATCTCTACACCCAGAGTCCGGTCGTTAATCTTGGCAAGGTGCGTCCTCTCGCTAACTTAAGCGATGCCACCGCCAAATCCACGGACAAACGAAAACTGCTGGACGAGGAGGCGGCAGAGTCGGACCTAGACATGGTGTAATTGTAATGCTGTCCTAGCTAGTCTTAGACTTAATCTTAGGCTGTAAATAGTTGTGGAAAAGTGCCTGCAAATGTTTTGAACGCCAGACGACGAATGTATTTGACACCAGGCTTTGTGCAATGCAACAGAGAGCAACAGGCTTGTAAATACCAAAACTTTTGCTTTTCTAGTTTAAGATTCTCAGCGGAAATGTGTTTTAATCATAACATGATTGCTACCAAACTAAAAATGATTTTACATATGTATGCGCTTCTTCAAGGAGCTTCTTTTAAGTCATATACATTATATATGGTATAAAGATATATAATTGGGGGTATCTGGAGTATCTCAGTTTATAGTGCTGTGTTGACATCGTGTCCATCTTCCTGGATGGGTGCAATGCGAGTGGTGAGTGCTATCTGGACAGACTGGTAGCCGATGGCGCGGAGATAGTATGGGCACTCTTTCAGGTGCTCCTCCATGTCCAAAACGCGGTGCGTGGCGTTGTATTTGCAGATCTTCAGTGGAGGTCCGCGGTAGTTCTTCTGGCACTTGACGATGTGCTTGGGCATCCGGAACAGCATAATGCGGTGGGTTTTATCATACGGACATATTCCAAATTCGTAGTCCGACATTTTGCAGTCAATTTTCACAAATATGTAGCTTTTATACGAGTTGTGTGCGTGATAGTCCCGCTATGTTTTAAACTTTCGCCTAGAGATGAGCAAGCCTTCGTTTATCGCTTGTGTTATCGGTAAAAGTGATACCTAAAATTAAATTTAAAATTTAAATTTATGAGTAATGTAGAACAATGTACTATTATTTTGAAATACTTTTTTTTTCATTTTATTGGAAATTAATTTAATTAATATAATAATAAAATATTATTTTCCCGGCAAAATAATTAAAAAAATTATTTCCGATTTTACAGTTCCACTTTTGTATGGCCTGTTTATTTTAATTGGCTTCTTTGAAGTTGCATAAAATGAATCTATAAAACATCGCAGTTTTTCCCAAACATTTTAAGCATTTTAGTATTTAACAAATATATTGGCAAGTTTCGATTCAAGATAATGAAAATGATTTGAAACAATGTACACTTCTTCCAAAATTATAAATTTTATTATACTCTTAAGATAAATATTTCAAAAATAAAAATATTATCATATAATTTTCTTTTACCGTTCCACTCCTATATATTTTCTTTTAACTTATATAAAATTAGCTTATGATTGTCTTTTAAAGTCTGCAAAAAATGTAAATATATCTTCATGGTATTTCTTACAAAAATTAAAATAAATTTCTTTTGAGTTCTATAACATTAAATTTGTTTGCAACATCTCGAAACAGGTTCTATAACATTTATTTTGCTTGGAACATCTGGAAACTGTTTCCATATACGGAATACCCTATATGTGTTTACAGAAAATACGGTCACACTCCGACCACCGCGCGTAAACCCTCCCCTCCCTTTCATTCCCTTTTTCCATTCATTCGACGTGAAAATTTCGTACAGTTCGGTCAATTGTCAACTCTATTGCAAGCCCCAATTAATTTGTTAGAACATTAACCAAGTGAAATATGGCTCGTACCAAGCAAACTGCTCGTAAATCGACCGGAGGCAAGGCGCCCCGCAAGCAATTGGCCACCAAGGCTGCCCGTAAATCGGCTCCATCAACGGGTGGCGTTAAGAAGCCCCATCGTTATCGTCCCGGAACAGTGGCTCTTCGTGAGATTCGTCGCTACCAGAAGTCGACGGAGCTCCTCATCCGCAAGCTGCCCTTCCAGCGTTTGGTGCGTGAGATTGCCCAAGATTTCAAGACCGATCTGCGTTTCCAGTCGGCTGCCATTGGAGCCCTACAGGTAGAGTAATCTTACCCCCCCGACTATTTCACCCGGACATGTAATAACGTGGAACACTTAATTCATACGCAATTTGCAGGAGGCCAGCGAGGCGTATCTGGTAGGTCTCTTCGAGGACACCAATCTGTGCGCCATCCATGCCAAGCGCGTCACCATTATGCCCAAGGACATTCAGCTGGCCAGGCGCATCCGAGGCGAGCGGGCCTAAATATGCATCATTTGTTCCATATCCGCCATCTTGGATTGGAAAACACAGTGGCGGCAAAAACATCAACCCACAGCTGTCTTTTTTTTTTTTTTTGGAAAGATTGAAATGGAGGTGGGGATACTTTTGACATCAGTGGCCGCCGCTTAGTTTTTAGGTCTATCTGTACTTATATATAAGCAATAAATTAACAACTACGTATGTTCAAATAAAATATATTATTCTTTTTGTAAAATTCTAACAATTAAAAATGATTTATTTACATGCTAGCAAAGAAAATATCTTAGAGAGACTTGTAGAATTTCGACAGTAAATGCTAGCAAAGAAAAAATCTAAGGAGACTTATAGAATTTCGATAGATGCAGCAATCTGAACATAGAACTAACCCTTAAATCCTTAGGAGATATCCTTACATCTTGATCGACAGACTTATTAGTCCACTCTAAGAAAGCGATTCCTTTTAAAACCTGAAGATAGCTATAGATAAAGAAAACTTTCAGCCGCTTTTTTTTGGGGAAAGGTTGTCATTAGTTATTTTATTTGTACTTATTTGTTTCTAAACAAAAAAAATTCTGCAACTCTTAAATAACTAGAGGGACTTTTAGAATACGGACAGTATATAATTTTTAATAAATTTTGAAAATTGAATATAGGAAGTAAATAAAAGAGTTAAGTCCCCTTTAAAAAAACACATTCGTTTTGAATCCCCCCTAAAGGTAACAAATTAAGTTTCTATAAATGCTCTGTATTTAATTAAAAGTTGCTTAAAACTAAAATACAGTCGGTCAAAGATTTTTTTTTTATTGATTATATCAAATTTGTTTTGTATTGTATTTAAACTACAATGAGGTAGACAACGTTTTCTTAGATAGATAGTTTACTTATCAAAAAAATGGCTTGAGCGTTTTTCCCTGTACTTGTCCAGGATCTGGGCAGTTAAAGGCGTGAACAAATGCGGGTAGCGTAACCATGGCATTAATGGGAGGACTTCCCATCACCAAATCGCTTTCTTCATACAAAGTGCTACCAAATGAGCTCTGGCCGAACCTGAAGAAAAACAACTCCTTCAGTGACATTGTGGTGAAGTTGGGCTGCCTTTGGCTGAACTTTGAACCCTCTGCGAAGTAGGCTTCATGGGCTAAATTCAGGTTTAGGAGATACAACTCCCGCAAGTGCTGCAACCTTTTTGGATGCCCAATGTCTATGCAAATAGGGCCGACGGTATTTAGCTGGTTGTCATCGAACATATGGAGCAGATTCAGCTCGTTTCCCTTACAATTGCGTATGCCAAAACTTCGCATAATTTGGACGCCAAAGCGGATGGCCAGCGGAATCATCTTAAATATGTCATGGCTGTTGGGGTCGAAAGAGGGATCCGCCAGGATGTCATAGGACAGATATATTGTGTTTCCATTCTCCTCGAATGCAGATTCGAAAAAATGATTTGAGATGGGATAGGTATGCAGGATGTACCTCCTGACTTTGGCCAATGGTTGGTCAAGTGCACTTAACTCGGCACGCGTGCGTAACTGCAATAGCTTCAGATGGGCACTATCGAGTGCCTCGTCGTCTTCGAACTCCAAATCCTTATAGAAGTCGGCTACGAAACGTCGATGGCCCGCTTTTCCTGGTAGGTTTCCAATGCTCAGACTAAAGCTCTTCAGCCTTTTTTGCAAGGAAGTGATCTCTGGTGCCGTCAGGTTTAGGGAGTTTCTTTCGAGGCGGACGGCAAGCTGGTGGCGCATGGCTTCGAATACCTTTTCGGCTTGGTTCCGGTAGCTCCATAACTTTTTGCGACCCAGTATGCGTTCCTCATACAATAAGTTACTGGCGAATTCCATGCAAAAGCGAACGGCATTCACACAGGAATTACTTACATCATATTTTGACTTTCCCAGCGAGAACATTGTGAAGAAGTGAAAGCGTACAGCTAGATAAGTGGCTACCACTTGGCTATCAAAGGTCCTTAATAGTTCCTGGAGCCTCATGATGTAGTACAGATCCTGCACTTGCACTTCGAAGTTGGGCGGAAAGCGGCGACCGAAGACGATCTCGAGGTACTTGCTCAAGGACACTCCATAATACATCTCCAGATCCTCTAGACTTATCCGTCGTTCTTGGGCATTGGCGGAATCCATTTCCCACTTTATATCGTTTTTGAATAGCGATTGAAGGGCAGAATCCAAAGGCACTAACTCATTTACAAACTTGCAGGACAAGCCAAGACGATGTATTGATTCAATGAACCGGAATTTAAAATCATACTTTTTTTCAATAACCACTATGGTGTTGGCACTACTGTCTTGATCTTCTCTTACGGTCATCCCAAACATGACGTCATTCAGGCCATAGCGACGAAGTCTGGCCAGTGTCTCCATCCATTGAAATTTCTCTTTGGGCCATTCGATACCTGGGGGTGTCTGATGGGGCCACTGAATGTCTTCACCCGGTGGTACCAGGTCATAATACTTCAACGGTCTATGGAGCTTCGACGACGCCTCACAAATCTCGTAGAAGCGGCGCAATTTCTCCTCCAAGCTATGCTCCTCGAAGATTTGGTCCTTAAGTCCATCGAATAGGATTTGAAACTGAGCATTTACCGTCGGTGGCTCTTCCCATTCGAGATTCTTTTGCGAAGAGTTGTAGAAGTTCTGGCAGGGCTTGCCTTTATGGTCCATCTGACTAAGCATCCGGTTGAAAATTTCGACATTGGGATCTGTAGCTGCAATGCCTGATATTAGCATCCAGCTTAGCCATATCCAGAAAAATGGTCTTGATCCAGCCATTTTAAGTTAGCAGCTGAAAGGAATTAGAAATCTATCTTAAACATCTGACGCAATTGTATGAAATTCGCTGTAAACTTAGGACGCCATCCAACAGTTTGTTATTGAATTTCAAGAATTCGCAGTGTGACCGCGAAAATGTTTGCTTTTTATTTTATAAAATACCGTCAAGCTCGGAAAAAATATACCATTTAATTATTTTTGTCGTGTCACGAACGTTTTTTTTTTTTAAATCGTATTTTCGTTATTTACTATACCACTATATATTAGTTTGTCTGGACGAAAATAATAATAAAACGATTATGACCATGATAATTGACACTTTTCAGCGATCTCCCAATATTTGTCTTTGGAGTGTTCCCAAATAGTAATCCTTATACCATTACAAAACCAAATTCGCTTTGTGTAAAACTTTGCTCTAAACAAAAGCTGTTTTTATCTTTTAATACGATTAGCTTAGCGGTTTTTGTGGGATGAGGGGAAATTGTTTGAGGAGAGCAAATGCAAAAATTTACTTAAAAACTATGGTGTCCAGCATAGCGCCCAGGCACTGGACTATGTTGTTCTGCATGACCTTGTCCACCTTCTCCTCCAAATGCCGCTTGGGATCCTGCTTGCCCACGTTCTTGATCGCCAGCTGTTCAGGCGTCATTTTCTCCTCGTCCTCCAGAGACTGAAAGGAAAGTTAAGAATTGAATATTAAAAACAAAATTCATGTCCTTAGTTTGCCTTTGCTATTCAGTTCCCTCTTTTTAGAATTCTTAAGAAGCATAAAATTAATAAATGTGCAGAAGAAAAACCTGTCATTGCTATGATTACAAAAAAAACCTATGATCTTTGAGAGTTTTAACTACATTTAAAAGCTGGCTAGTTGTTAAGGTTTTAGCCTTCCTGATCTGAAGACACTTAACAATGCAACAATGAATGAATCACCAACCAGATGACATGACCCACCTTATTGTAGTTCTTGGCCAGATCGAGCATCTCGGCCACGGTGTCCTCGTTGATTGAACAATGCTCGTTGTAGTCGGACAACGTGAGGCCATCCTTCCACGACTTTTTGTGCAGATTGAGGAGCATTTTCTGCTCCAGCTCGTTCTTACGGTAGTTGATGCTAATCGAGTAGTAGTGGCGATTGAGTCCGTGGATCAGGGCCTGCACGGATGGCTTCTGCAGGTGACCCAAATTGGAGGTGGTCTGCCGCGGCTCCTGCCCCAGGACCAGCATGTTGGGGTTGATCAGGCGGAAGGCATCGATCACCACCTTGCCCTTGACGGACTGAATGGGATCGACGACTACGGCAACGGCGCGTTCCGACAAAGCCTCGAAGGACTGCTGCGTGTTGATGTCGACGCCAGACAGCCAGCAGCCGAAACCAGGATGCGAATGGTACCAGCCGACGACCATTTCGGGTCGACCCGTCTGCTTCAGCATGTCCAGCATCTTGGCCTGGAAGACGGGATCCACGGCCTCCACGGAGACACCGGTGCCCGTTTGGGGCATGGCGAACACATCGATGACCTGCACCGTATAATCGTCCACGAATTCGCCCAACATCAGACCCATCACCTCCATGGGCACGCCCGCTCGTCCGTGCTTGAGCATCTTGAGCAGGGCCAAGGACGAGATGTACACCTGTTCGGCGGTGTCCACGACGGGCGCATCTGTGGGCGGGGCGGCCTGTGGCATAGCGCCTCCAAGACGTAGCAGACGATCCATTTTATGCGACTATCCGGATGGGATGAATGACGAGGATGAGGATGCAAATACCAACAGAAGTTAGAAACAATAGAAAAAAGCTGAGAGTTGACAGTACTCACCTTTGGGGTTTTAGACACTCTGTATTCGGGGGCAAATATCACCTATTTCCTATAGTTTTACGTGTAATTTCCGTCCCTCGCCGAAAGCAGCAACAAAAAACACAAAGCCGACTCGTTTGATTTTGCAGAAGTGCAAGTAATACTCGCAACAGGGTTGCTTCGCAGGCGGTCTATCGAAAAGCTATCGGAGGGAGAAGATGCCACTTTGGCAAGTTTCCCGCCAAATCTACATATCTGTTATTAGAGATTAGCTACTTGAAAAATTATTTATTTAATTTGAAATGCTTTATTTATTTGATCCGGATTCTAGTTTATATGTATTTATTTTTCATTATAAAATGAGGGTATTAATATTTCTTTTCGATGTTATGTATATTTTTTAGATGTTTTAAAAATCTCTTCTATATAATCATTTACGTGCTTATATTTTTTCAATAAAATAAATAAAATGAATTCAAATTCATTTATTTTAATTCTCCTTATTGTTTAGGGTTAATTTAGCTGTTTTTTTTCAGTCAGCTAGTTGCCAACACTGGACTTGTAGGATTCTTAATATCGATACGTAAAAATATCGATATCAAAAATGGCGGTAAATTTAAGGCTTTTCTAGCTAGTTAATTATTTTTCGCAAAACAAAATCAATTGCAGGACGCCAAAATTCTTACTTGCAACAATTATAAATGTGGCCTGCGGTTGCAAGTTGACTGAGCCGAGGAAAACGAAGACTTTCCGCAAGACCGAACACCGCAAAATTTATAATGCATTTACAATCCATCCGCCCGTCAAATGCCATGGGAAATGAGGTCTTCTCTTCGCCGGCAAGACCGAAACAATGCAGAGCCGCCTTTTTTATTGTGCCAATTAATTGCACAAAAAACCTTTTGCCTTTTAGATGCGGCGTCTTTTTGTGCCTTTCACCTCGCTCTCGGGAGATGGAGATTCCGCCAAGATTCCGAGCTTCCCAAGCGTCCGAACCGAAAATTCGTTTAAAATGCCATCAAAGGTGGGACAAAACCGTCGGCTTTAGCTAAAATCCAAAACTCCAGCCGATTGCAACACAACTCGGACTACTCCATTTTCCGTCTCGCTTTGGTAATTGAACAATAGTTTTTCCATCTGCCAGCAGACTTTTCCATTCGCGCCGCTCGGCTTTTCAGCTTCAGTTGCATTTTGTCGCTCGCCTCCAGCACGCGCACCATAAAATAGTTGTTAAAGTTAAATATTTTTCGCTTGGTTAAACATTTTGCCGCTCTGTGTTCTGAAAGTTTTGTTTAAGATTTCTGCAATTATTTGCATACAAATTGCTTGTAAATTGTGCCGCAAGCGTAACTAACTTCAGGTATTTAAATGAATTGGTTAATACTTCTAGCTGAAAGGTGGCGAATTTCAGCTGAGACAAACATATTCGTGTCGATTTGTTATTTTGTTGTTGGCCTCTTATCACCAAGCGAAGCACAGCCACAAAAATTGTTCTTGTTGATAAGCGAGAGAGGGGAATTCAGAGAGCTTTTTTACAAGGGGGGAGTATTTTATGGGTACACAAAAAAAAATTAAAAACTTTACATTACAAATCGTTTTATTTAAAGTTAAAGTATTAAGAAACAACAACAACACTGGTATACCTTTTATCTTGAGTTTATATTTTATACTTGCCCATATTTTCAATTTCAATTTAATGCTATATATTTAAATAACAAAAAATTGGCATTTTTCTTTCTCACTTTTAATACATATATTTAGATAATAACAAGTTATTTGAACCTTAAAGTCCTTACAAGTATTAAGAAATTATCTTATGTCTTCCTTTTATGATTAGTTGTTTATTTACATATTAATACATCAGGGCTACTGAACTCTTTAAACATTTTGTACTGTGTACTAGTCTTAAACGTCACATTTAATTACTTAAACAGCTGCTTGGTATTTACTTAGGCCCAAAAACAAAAGAAACACGCTCCATTTCGCCATTGATTAAATATTTTCACATCTGACTCGAGTATCTTAAACGCTATCATTGACCTTGTCAACGCTTAAATCAATCCCGTTCGAAGAAATGCCGTTAATGCACTCAATCTGGTTACAAAAAAAAAAAAACGTGGCAAAAAAATTAAATGCATTATAAAGTGGAATAAACTGGGAGGAAAACACGTTTGTTCAGCTGTGAAATTGACCTTTTATGGCCTAACTCAACCCAAAACCTCTAAAACTGAACATTTTGTTGGAGCTGTTTGAGTTTAAAAGAAATGAGCGGAAATACTTTACAATGATAGTGGCTCTAATTGCTACCAAAAGTGGCAGGGGAACCAGAGGCAGAAAAGTGAAGATAATAAGGGTCAGATGAGTAAAACAATTATTTTGGTTTGAGTCATTTGTTATTCTTCTATAGGGTAAATATTTCGGGGGGTCTTACCAAAATACATGAAAGTTAAATGCGTGAAATTGTATTTTAGCTTTCATAAAAGAAAAATTATTTATGGCTTAAATAAAAATATAAAATAATAACAATGATATTTACTTAAATTTAATTTCAATCAAGTTCCTTTACTGTAAACACTAAAAATAATTGCATTTTTAAACTATAAAATTTTTATAAAATATAATAAAATACAAAAACGAGCTAAATATTGCCCAAAATCATTTAACTTTACAACAAAAAATATTGTTGTCTAAGTATTTATAATAATTTATTAATAAAAGCAAATGCAATCAGGCTTTAATTTTAACAATTTAATTCCCATTGATGTGCCCAACCAAACCTTATCAAAGTTCATGCCGCTGAAATCCCATTAAATTGCTGATACCAGTCGCAATTATTTCAACAGAATCGTTTTTTAGCCTTTCCAAAGTGTCAAATACATGTGTGCAGGTGTTTTAGCTCATCTAAGCCGAAGACCTTTAAGCCCGGGTCGGTTTTTGTAACTAGAACAGTCAGATCCACCGACACCGCCGCAGCAACCGCAAACGAAAATGATCTCAAAAACAAATTTCGTAATTATCTGCAGGGGGAAAAAAAACAGAAATAAAACTGAGAGTTGCATGTCTGGGAAACTGCTTTAATTTCACTTTTCATTTTGGATTTGCCCAGCAAATCAGTGCAACCACGATTGGCGAGCGGGAAGGAGTACAGTCATAATTATTAATTGCGGGCTGAAGAAAGTTTTAATTACCCCACGAGTGTTTAAGATAATGAAGTCGTTTATCTGAGGCATTCAATTATTAAATTGCTCACATTTTGAAAGTGCAACCAATGATTAGAAATTGATTTTAGCTCAATTTGCATTCAGTTCATTTTCTTAAACATATTTGTACATTTCACTATCCGATTGAGTACACTTGGAAAATAAACATATTAATTGCAAATATCAGCTATTGTAATTTTGTCCCTGGTAAAAGAAAATATTTTATTTTAAAAGCATTCCTTCAAGCCTAATACGCTTTCACTTTGTGTGATCGCATTAAATATTAAAACTCTTTGTAAACAGAGAAAACTAAAGGCTTTATTTGATTGTTTGATGGTGGGCATGTAACTAAGTTCACTTTCCTATGAAATAAAATATCAAAATTTAGCATAATTTTTCTCTGTGCAGAGATGATGACGTCGCTGCAACTGGAGACGTCATTGCCGGCATTGGAGGAGCAAAGGGAGCAGGAGCACAAGAAGGACAACGAGCCCGCGGTGGATACGCACACGGCATCCATAACGCCCACTCGCATTCCACATCCTGCCGTGGCCAACTTCCGTCGTTCCGCCTCCCTGCGCCTGCGCGGGAACCCATCGGAGCTTGGTTTACGGGCTGAGCACTGTCCAGCCGGCGGAGGCGGATTCAGTTCCCGCGCCAAGCTCACGGCGATCCCAGCCAATCTCAAATCGCGCTCGCACCCGGTCCACTTGAGGCGTAATCGCAGCTGGAGCAATTTAGGCCACAAAACGGAGCAGGAACCGGACGTGGCAAGGGCTTCGACGGAGGCGGACTCGGGCCATGCACTATGCACCGCCACCCAGTGTCTGTCCCTGGCTGAGGAGCTGAATGCTCCGCAAGTGACCAACAATATGGCCAACGGCAAGCCGCGCAATCTGGTGAGTTGTGTAGGTTGTATTTTGTATTGTATTATATTGTATTGATTTTAACTTGCCGCTGCTGACCTATGTAACTTGAGGGTGAACATTTGCGACGGGGGTGTCAAGCATTACACGCACACCTAGTTGAAAGTACTGAGCATATTACGACACTATCTGGGGAACGCTCGGGGCATTTTCTGGGAATTCAGGAGCGGTCATAACCCACTCCCCATTAAGAAGTCTAAATATGTATGCTTACCTCATAGTTACAGTTTTCCTTATCGTTGAAAAGCCATAAAAATAGGAGCGTTGAAAAAATTATACCTACCTCAAAATTTCGTTAGTTTATATGATATATCATATGCTTACAGAATTTCAATCAAGTAACAACAGCAATTTCGAATATCTATCATGAACCACATGGTTTCCATCTTATCAAGTCAACAAATTTCACAAATTTTGAAAGTTAAGCTTGTTTTGAAATTGATTGGTTATTGGTTAACTTATTTGTTTGGAAAGTATTAATAGGCAAGGGCGTTTTTTGAAATTCTAAGCTATATGTTGAATTGAATTGTTGTAGTAATCCAAATAAATTTGAAGTACATTTTAAATCTACATCATAATCTTACAGTAGGTTTTATCATTTCTTTAAACCTTTATAACTTTTAAAACAAAATATTTTTTCCATTTAAAAATGTATTTGTCTTGAACTAAGGATTTGAGTTACCTTAATTTTTTTAATGGCTTTTCGATGGCTCTTTGATTATAAATTTAAGTTTTCTGGAAAGTTATAACTGATTTAGCTGGGTAATGTCACTTTGGCACTTGCACTTTTGCCGCTGTCGTGATGACACGAAGCTTACAGTTTGTACTCTGCCCGCCGACAGCGATCATTAAACCAGATATAATATATTTGTACCGCACAAAGGGAACAACAAAAATAAACCCAAAGCTGAGTTTGCATAATGCTTGGCCAGAAAGAAAGGGGAAATGCGATGAAAGAAGAAAGGTGAACAGAAACACAGCTTACACACGCCTCACCTTCACAGCCCCCCTTTTCAGTTTTTTCTTTACCGC